GATGGGGTCCAGAATCAGGCCCAGCTTAGTGGAGGTGCCCAGGGTGCAGAGCAGCACCCTGGCACATTTGGCTGGCACTGCTCTGCCAGCTTCACCCTTCCAGCAGGCTGCCGAGAAACATCTGCCTTTCTCTGAGGCCACAGAAAAGGATGATCCTCTCCAGCCTTGCTCTTCTTCCCCAGGCACCCTGTTCCAGGAGTTCAAGGAGGAGATGGAGACCGTCTACAAGATCTACTGTGCCAGCTACGAGCATGCCCTCCTGCTGGTGGAGAGCTACCGCAAGGACCCCAGGCTGCAGGAGGAGATCTTGGAGACCCTGAATGCAACCGTGTAGGTACCTGCTCCTAGGACCACCACCTCACTCTCCCTGTTTTACCTACTGGCCTCACCCTTCTCCTTCTCTCTGGACAAGCTGCCCGCATGGGTACATGCCACCAGGGTGAGTGTAATGTCACGGCCATCACCTTTGTGGCATTGCCTGGTGTAGCCCCTGTCAGCCTGCCCTGCATCCTTGGGGCCACTTGCCAAAGGGGCGCTAGAGGTTGGTGGTCCTTTATGGTGGACCCCAAAACATACGATGGGGTGACACCCACAGCTCCCGCCTGCTCCACAGCCCAAGACACTCTGCCCACAAAGAGCACATGTTTCCCAGCTTGACCAGAGGGATGGGCTGGCCAAACCCCTCCTCAGCTATCAAGGGGGTCACAAACACTGTCAGAGCCAGGAAAAGCAGGAGCGGCAGCAGGTGAGCTGCTGGGATTTGCTGCTCTCTGTTTCAGGGCACAGGCGATGTGACTCCCAAATGAGCGATGCCTTGCGTGCAGGTAGAAGAGGAGTCCTGCCTGCAGCCTGCCTGCACTTCGCCCACAGCCTCCCTCCTCATTGCCCCTGGAGCAAGCGCTAATCCCGTGCCTCCTAGCCAGACAAGCGCAGCACTGTTCAGGGAGGCAGGACACCCGCCCGGGGCTGGCACAGCCTTCGGGGCTGGCGGGGACAGCATCCCCCTGCTGGCGCTCCCGGCGGGTTGGCCCCACAGCTGGCAGGGAGTAGGGGGTCACAGCCAGAAACCCCCACAGCTGCTGGGCACAGCTTGCCTGCGGGTGCAAGGCAGCAAAGCTCCCCTGCAGCTGGAGAGGTGCTGCTTTCTCCCCAAAATGCTTGCAGGGAAGCTGTGAGGAACAGCAGGGCAGGAGGGCAGCCCTCCACGCCAACCTTGAGTGATCCCCTTCTCCATCAGGCCTCACACGGGTGCGTCAGACCTCAGCTTCTTCCTGGTGATGCCGGTGCAGAGGGTCACCAAATACCCGCTGCTGCTGGGGAAGATTCTGGAGAACACCCCCACCAGCACCAGTGCCTACCCAGCCCTGCAGGCAGCTGTCCGTGCCATGGCCCAGGTCAACACCAACATCAACGAGTACAAACGGCGCAGAGAAGTAGGTGAGCGGGCAGGGGCCGTGGTGCAAGCAGGGGGCACGGTGTCTGGGAAGCCCTATCCCAACCCCAGTCATCTCCCCTTGGTGTTATACTAATTCCCACTTAAATCGGTTCAAATTCTTCTGCCCTTCGCCTGTTCTGCCTGATGGGGCTGCAGACTTGTGCAGGCAGCTCCTGGTACTGCTCTGGTCCTGCAAATGCCACTCTGGGCAAGACCTGAAGGCTGCAGGAGAAGGGTGGCATGGGGGGTACTGAGCACAAATCCAGTCTGTCTGCATTCCTGGAGCTGGGGAATGGGGAGGAACAATCCTGCCCTTGGGGTAGGAGAAATTAGGCTCCCCACAAATGGGACCTCGCTCTTCTTTTTGGTTTTTGTAGTACTTTCCTCCAGGCTGCCCTTCTTTGGTGTGGGTTGTGGTTATCCTGTTGATCACAACTTCTCAGCTCTGGGCCTCGATGCTGCTCACCGGAGTTGCCCACTCGGGCTGCCGAGGATGCTGCCCTGAAGTTCCCTCCTCTGATCTTTTTTTTCTCCCACCACGTGTGCCCTGACCCGAGGCAGCAACCAAATACAACAAGGCCGAGCACCTGACGCTGCGGGACCGCTTCGCGCGCCTCAACACGCACTCCATCGCCAAGAAAACCACGCGGCTGAGCCGGCTCTTCATGCACGAGGCCGGCATCGTGGCCAAGGTGGGCAGCCCCGTGCTCCACCGCCTGCGGACCCCCTGCCTCTCCTTGGGTCGTTTCTGGGGCTTTCTGCTGCCTTCCCGGAAGCCTTGCCGAGGAGCAGAGCCGAGGTGGCGTGGCCAGTGCTGACCCCCAGTGGCCCATGCTGTCACAGGAGCCACAGTCGCATTTTCGAGCAGCCCAAGGGTAGCTCGTGGTCCCCAGTCCCAAGGAGAAGCAGGGTAGGAGGGATGCAGGTACACACCTTGCTTCCTGCCTCAGAGCGCTGCAGGGGAGCGCTTTGGCCCCCAAAGGACCCACAGGATCCTCAGGCGCCCCAGCAAAAGGAAAGACACCCTGGTGTTCCCCAGCACCACAACCAAACCGAAAGCCCTGTTTCTGCATGCATCCCATGCACCCTAAATCCTGGCCTTTTCAGGCTCCTGGAGCCTCTTGGGGTCTCCCCTGCCTGTCCCCAGCACTGTGAGCTTCGGGCAGGGGCCTGGCTGCATTTTAGGTTAGCACCCAGTGAGGGACATCAGCCCTGCCCGAGGCATTGCCTGGACTGCCCGTGCTGGGGATAAGCTGCCCCTTGCCTTGCAGACAGAGGACAGGGAATACGACGACCTGGAGGAGAAGTTCCAGTGTGTGGTGTCCAGCGTGGCTGTGCTGAAGGAGAACGTGGCATCCTACCTAGGCCATTTAGAGGTAAGACTCTGATCACTTGCAGGGGGTTGGCCCCACCCAGGCCTCAGGACCTGTTTCTTGGGCTGGCAGAATACTTTCAAGCCCTATGGAAACCATTATCTGTTGGGGATGTTGAGCGACTTGCATCTCAGCAAAAGATGTTGTGCCAGGGGCTTGCACGACATCCAAAGATCACTTGGGTCCAGCAGAGCTTGAAACAAAGTCAAGGCTTCATTGACACAGTCTGAGCTGGGTGTCAGTTGAGAATAATCAGTCCTTAAACTGATCATCATTTCAAGGCATTAAATAGCTGAAAAGGCTAAGTGTTGTTCGGCCTGGGAATTCTTGCATGACAGGTATAGGACAGAAGTGTTCCCAAATCAGGGAAACAGGAAACTTCCCTTCTGAGATGACCCGGCCCAGTAGCTGCCGTGATTTTCTCGTGGAAATCCCTTGGGGCATCTGAGGGAACTGAAAGTATGAGCAATGGCAGAACTTGAAATCCCCAGATGCTGTATTATCAGGAAAGTTTCAGGAGATGGCAAAGGGTTCAGAAAGCAGCAATTCAAGGCCTGGAAAGTCCTTGTGAAAATACTGACAAGGACTCTCCATATAGAATTGGGAAGGAGGAAGAAGGGACAGAAAGACTCCCTGTAGCTCAAAGAGTGGGTAAAATAGGATTAGACTAGAAAACGTGAGGATGACAGTGAGATGTGGCATCAGCTAGGGGGACAGGTTGTGACTGTTCCTTGGGACATCGAGTGCTCCTGGGGACCTGCCTGGCACTGCCCCTCAGTGAGCTGCATCTCTGTAAGCCAGCTTCTTTGCTTCAGCCAGGACATCAAGTGTCTGCAAATAGGCTGGGCAGCCTAGATCATAAGCTGTGGTTAGGAGTCATGCTGGGGCTTGGATGCAGCTTCAGAGGAGCTGCTGGTGGGGAAGGTGGGGCTGCATGCATCTCTCTCCCTCTGAAAGCTTCTCCAAGTCATCCTGAGGAGCTGATGAAGACATGTTCTCATAGGGCAGACAGCCTGGCCTCTCTTTGTGCTGGCTGGCAGTTCCCTCTCATGCATCTGTCTGTACCAGTGCCCCCACCACAAGGAGAGGCAAATCTTGGTTCATACAAAATCATCACTGCCACCTCTGCTTGTGTAAGAGCCCCTGTAGCGTTGAGGAAAAGCACACAGGTCTCAGAGCTGCCACCTTCTGCTCAAAGGGTCAGTCCCTTTCCCTTTTTATTTCCATCTCCAGTCCCTCCTGTGGCAAGGAGGACTACAAAGGCAGGGTCTCCTAAACATGACCACAGGCAAAAAGATGGGATTTAGGACAGAGATCAGGGCATTCTGAGGGGCCCATAGCAGCTGTGGTTGATGAGAATTAAACAGAAACTGCTCTTGCTGCTCCAGGACTGACTACAGGAGTGGTGCTCCAAGGGGCAGCGAAGCCAAGCCCAGGAGGAGCAGGAGGCCAGGCTTCCCTTGGCACCAGCAGCAGGCTGGAGCTCTGGGAGCTCAGTGCTCTCTTCTCTGGGTCTAGAGATTGCGGGTCAAAATCTGCTTCCAGGCAGGAAGGAGGCTGCTGCCCACAGACTTAACATTAGAGCAAAGCCTCTAAGCAGAGGAGGGTCTCCACCCAAACCATTCCCTAGCTGCTTTCCTTCTCCACCAGTTTCACTCTCCACACAGAGGCAGAGGGAAGATTTTGTACACCAATACAAAAATCTCCATGGAGCTACTGGAGCACCAGACTCAAATGTCAAAACACTAGGCAACATCAAGCTGGGGGCAGGCTGCCTAAGGCCACAGGGCATCCTTGGCCACCTTGCTGGGGTAGGAATGCTTTTGCAAGCTGGTGCATGACCCTTGCTCAAGGAGAGAGACTTTAACACCTAAGTGAGATCCCTGGCTTGCAGGCCAGAGTAGCACAGAGCACCCAGGCTAGGACATCGGCATGTCTTTGGGAACACAAGGATAGGTTACTGATGGATTAGGTAGTGTTGGGCAGCTTCTCCAGGTCAGGTCTGATGGCTTTCTCCCTTTTAGGCATTC